TTGGACGGAGAAGTGGTGCCTCGGGGCGCTCCCGGGATCCGAACCCGGGCCGCCAGCATCAGAGCGCGCGCACTTAACCGCTAAGCCACGGAGCTGGCCCAAGAGGAGACTTTAAAGCTCCTCAGGTCTAACATAAACCTGTTACCTGAATTTACTCTATAGCATGAGCTCTACTCTTTTTAAGTCAGGAATTCCTTTGGCAGTCTAGTGAATCCTATCCACCCCAACTCAGAATGTTTTTGAATGCATAAAATAAAATACATAGGATTATAAAGGAAACCAATTATATTGAAATACAATTAACAAAATATTAAAACAACTTTGTGATATCGTAATAGATGTGCTGCTTTGTTATACATTAAATAATAGGAGGTAACGTTGGAGCCCTATGGCTATGGAACAGCTCTGTGTCTGGAATGTGGTGGTGGTTACACAAAACTACATAGGTGATAAAATTTCATAAAACTACACACACACACACACACAATGAAATCTGAATAAGTTCTGTGGATTATACCCCTGTCAGTTTCCTAGTTTTAATGGTATATTATTGTTATGCAAGATATTACCACCAGGGGAGGCTGGGTGAAGGATATATGGGACCCTTCAAAAAAAAAAAAAGGTATATTTTTTTGCCACTTCCTGTGAATCTCTAATTACTCCAAATAAAAAGTGAAAAACCAAAACCCCCAAAACAACCAAGATTCCATTGGGGAGACCAATTGAAAAACTCACTCATGTGCTTCTCTTTGCATATTTCTTCCATGGCATTTGTTGATGTAAAATAGACTTCAGGAAGACTTATTTAATAAGGTCTTTCTCAGTATTCTGTTGTATACAATGGAGCGATAGGTTAGAATATAACCCAAAAGGTGTAAATTTGTGTCACACCAGAAAGAGGTTCCCGGTGGTATGCCACAGGACTTTTTCAGCTTTTTGTTGTTCTTTTCATCAGTGACTTTCACTGAAGTTGTAGTAAGCAAATATATCAAGTTTCTGGTTGACTGTAAATTTGGAGGCATAGTGAATACAAGAGAGCACAGAATCAGAACCAAAAGAGATCTTGATGGGCTGAAAAAAGTCAGACTAAATCTAACAAAATGAATGTTATAGGGATAAAATAGAGTGCTGCACTGGGGTCCAACAACATGTAGGAACAGGATCTAAGGGTAAATCTAAAATGAAGCCACTGTACACTCTGACTGCCTGGCCTGCAGCACCCCTACCGCCATCCCAAAGTAGTGTAATATCAGGCCATAAGAACAGAAGTGGATCATTTAGAATGAGAATAGTGGTAATCTGACTCTGTGCCAAAGAAAACACATCTTGGGAACCATATTTCATTTTGGATCCCAGGGATATACTAGAGTACATTTATAAAAAAGTAACTAGACGTTTGAGGGCTCTGAAAACCATAAATCATTATCATAAGGAAGATTTTTTTCTATTGTGGTAAAAACCACATAACATAAAATTTACCGTCTTAACCATTTTTAAGTGTACAGTTCAGTAGTGTTAAGTATAGTCAAATTGTTGTGAAACAAATCTCCAGAACTTTTTTCATGTTGCAAATCTGAAACTCTGTACCCATTAAACTCCCCTTTTCACTGTGTAAGGAAGATTTTGAAAGAACTGGGTATAAAGTCAGAAGAAAGAAAGACAGTGGGTTAGAGATTTATCTTCAAATATATGAAAGTCTGTCACGTAGAAAAGAATTTTGCAATGAGGATCATGGAGATATTTCAGTTCAACATTTCAGTTCAACAGAAGGAAGAAATTTTTTTTTTTTTTTTTTTGTGAGGAGGACCAGCCCTGTGCTAACATCCAATGCCAATCCTCCTCTTTTTTGCTGAGGAAGACTGGCCCTGGGCTAACATCCGTGCCCATCTTCCTCTACTTTATATGGGACGCCGCCACAGCATGGCTTAACAAGCAGTGTGTCGGTGCACGCCCGGGATCCAAACCGGCGAGCCCCAGGCAGCCGCAGCGAAGCGTGCGCACTTAACTGCTTGCGCCACCAGGCCGGCCCCAGAAGGAAGAAATTTTTTGAAAGAGATGCTCACATATGGATAGGGCTGCCTCAGAAAAGGTAGTAATTCCCTGTTCAAGAAAAAAACGGCATCTTGTAGAACACTGCTTCTTACCCCAGGGTTCACAGACAAAGGGGTCTGTGAACACGGAAAGGAAAAATAGTATATCTTTATCTC